TATTATTATTGCAAATATTCAGTATATAAGTGAATGTACAAAATTGAAAATGAAAATGAATAAAACATTTAAAAGACAAAAAGAAAGGGGGTTGGGAGTGAGGGTATAATGGAATCAAAAAGGGGAGGGGGAAAGGAGAGGCATCATATGTAAAGGAAGGGAACACAAGCAGAGACTGAGGAAATGAGCATAGAGGGCCCAGTCAAAGCATCTGGCAACAAAATAAAAGTATATTATTACTGTGGAGATGTCAGCCAGCCACAAAATCTGGATCGTTCTTTTCTGGACCATGTTACAGAACTTTCAGAGAAGTGCCTTAATAACAGTGGGAGACTTCAACTACTCAGATATTTGCTGGAAAGCCATTTCAATCAAGACTGCCCAAAGATTCCTTGTAACTGTCGCTATCTGTTTAATTTTTTAGAAAACTACAGAAGAGTCAAAGCCCATTGCAGCATTCTTCTGGTCTCATGATAATGATTTCAATGTTCCTTCCCAGTTTCCCAAAAGCAAAGTCAATGGGGAAACTGGAAGTTAAGCAAGGTCATATAAGGTCACATATTCCTCCCTAAAGACAACAATCAGAATTGTCAAGGAATGCTGACACTGTTGTGCATTCATGTGATCTCATGCTTCCTGTCCTCTGTCCAGTATCAAATATGCAAACTGTTAAATGTATTGTGGAAGACTGCCTACAATATGAGTTCTCTGCATGAAGCAATACCAGACGAATGCCTGGATAGCTGAATTGGACATCCAATTATGAGAGGCCACTGCCTCTTCCCTAGGGTTTTGTATATAATTATGTGGATTGAGTTTATGTTTACTTGTTCTGTCATATTCTCATCACATGCTAAATAAATACCATTAGGACAGAAAAAAAAACCTGTCCTCAAATATAGTCCTTCAAATTCTGAAGGACTATAATGTGGTTGGGGTAGATATGCTCAGTATTATTGTTCTATCTAGAAAAATAATAACTAATGGATTTAATTATAAGGAGTTGGTTAGAAAACTTCACACTGATCAGCTGTTTGACAATGGAACAAGCTACTTTGGGAGACGCTAGAGCTGTTTACAAAGGCTGTGGCCCCTCCATCAGAAGGTGTAGCATTGGAAACCCACACTGGGAAGTGGGATGGATTAAAAAGAATCAGGCACAGTAAATAACTTGACATCAACAATCATCCTCGTTTACCCCCTCTTGTGAGGAGAGAAGGTTTTAACATTTTATCTATATATATATAATCAAAGTTCTGATTATACTCACGCCTCACGTTCCTCACGATCTCGCTTGATTCGCTTCAATTCTCGCACTTTCCAAGCTTCATACTCTTCTTCATCATTCTCATCATCCGTATCCAAAGCATCAAGGGCTGCCAAAGATCGCCTGTTCTCCTCCAATTCCTTCTTGGCTTCTTCTTCTACAATCTGCAGCAATATAGGGGAGGTAAGCCTCCTGAAGGACCACATTCCTTGTGTCTCAATCACCTGCTCCTTCCTTTCCAAATACCTTCAGAGTGTACTTGCGCCTCTCTTCAGCCATACGTTTGGCCTCTTGTTCCAGTTCCTTCTGTTTCAGTGCCTCTGCTTCTCGCTCCTGGACTGTGATTCGGTCCTTTCTGCAACAGATATTTGTGCCAAGTTGAATAATATCCAAATTAAATCTTTTCTAGAAGAAAACTTAGAATTCACAACCATCGCTGCAAGAAAAATGCCTTGGAAGGTATGCAAAGTGGAGCTGTAATTATATGCCACCAACATTTAAAAAGAAAAGCTGTGAAATAACACTCAGGCTCAAGAGATCAATGCCCACTGCCACCTCCTCCCCTTCCTTTTCTTAACTAATGGAACTTGCTTGCGAATGAAGACAGGTTTGAGACGTGGTTCAGTTTCATCTTCACTATCTGTATACTCCTCATATTCAGACTCAGTTTCAGACTCCTCCCCAGAACGGCCTTCGTCTTCCAGTTCCATCACTTCCATCTCCTCATTCTTGCGTTCCTGAGCACGTTGGCGCATCATATTACGTCGACGTTCAATTTCCTGTTAAGGAGAGATAAAGGGAAAAGGTTATCATGGGTCCATGTATCCCCTACCCCATTCCAACCGGTCAGATATCAATTTATGGCTATATTAAAATTACACAGGTGTAGGACTTTTACATGTCAAATAGTCCAGATCCAACTCTTGGAATCGCTAGCAAAAGCTGAGGACAAATGGCCAAGATTCTAGATGCTCCCAGTCAGAACACTGGGCTACTGGATACAATGCAAAAATATCCCCCTACATTTCTAAAGATGCAGTCCAACACCACACCTGGCTCTTCCGCCTGCACATACCTCATCGTCTACCTCTTCCTCCTCTTCCTCACTGGTGTCCTCACGCTCCACGTGCCAAGCTTCGCCTTCCACTTCAGAATCGCTCTCCCCCACCACTTCTGGCTCCACAATCTTGCGGTGCCTTGCCAGCCTGGAAGACAAAGGCCATTTTCCTCTCTCTGCCTCTGCTGGATCACAAAAAAGCCTCCAGGCTTCACCCAGGCAGCCCAGCTGCCACTTACCTCTCTTCCACATCCTCGCTGACCCGGTTCTGCAGGCGGCGAAGCCTGGGGTCGCTGGCCAGCTCCTCCTCCTGCTCCTCGGGCTCCAGCTCCTGCTCCTTGGCCTTCTTAATGAACTGGAATTCCTCGTCTTCCTCGTCGGAGGACTCCATGGGCGCATAGTCGGGGCGCTTCCCCGAGACGTACCGCTTCACCTTCACCTTCTCCATGGAAATCTCCCCTGGAAGAGGCGGGCGAGGTTCAGGCTTTCCAGCTGAGCCCAGCACCCCCCTCTTCCTCCCCCACCGCCTCTCCCCGCCGAGAACCCCCCTTCCGCCCCCTCCTCACCCTTCTCGTTGCGGACGGGCACGGCCCCCGCCGTGGACTGGATCGGGGGCTGCTTCATGAGGGCGCTGCTGGAGCCCGACATGGTGACGGTGGAGGCCCGGGCCACGAGAAAGACGGCTGCTCGTCCGCCGCGCGTAAACACAGAACTGACGGACGACAGACTTCCGCCTCCGGCTGCTCTGGGCCACTTCCGCTTCCGGGGTCCGTGGGGGCGGACCCCCGACGACCTTCCGTTGTAGCTGCGCCTGCGCACTTTCTTCCGAGGTGGAGCTTAAGTGGCCGGGCGGCGGTGGGCTCTGCCTTTTGTCTCCCTCCTGGAGCGGCCCTCGGAGTCTCCGCCGTGTCGCTCTGGCTTTCGAGTCCGGATGCCAAGCTCGCGTATTGGGGTAACAGGGAATGGAAGCGCCTAAACCCCGGGGCCGGGGGGGAGGCTTGTTTCTTGTGCCCGACAGAAGGATCGGCTCGTGGATGGGACCGCCAGTCGGTTGCGAAGGAACATCTTTCTGACTGAAAAAAGAGGAATTATTCACCAATCTGGAAACAGCGGGACATATGTTTAGAGGGAATAATAAAGTATACTTGGCAAGGAAGAATTGCAGCAATCACATTTTCCATTTCAACTGGTTTCGATTCCAAACCAAATAAGGTACTTTAATGGGTGTCATGGATTAGTAAAGAGTCGTATATAATCCAGCAAAGGGGCAAAGATCAAATCCAAGAATTTCCAATATTTAAAAGAGCAAGGTCCCCCCCCCCCCCCCAAGTTTCAAATTCTACTGCTGTGCTACCTGCCTAGGTGGATTTCAGTGTGGATTATATTTTGGAGTGATTCCATCATCCTAATCGAAGGGCCAGACCTATCAGAAGAGTTGTATGTGTATTTGGGTGGGTGTACACTTTTTCCCCCTTGAAAATATTTAATATTATAGTAAAAATATTTATTTATTTATTGAATTTATATTGCTGCCTACTCACCCATGGTGACTCAAGACGGTTTACAGAATATAAAACCACATTTAAAACATTAAAAACTAACAAAAAGAATCAAATAAATTAATATAGCACAATATCACACATACACACACACCCCAGTGGCAGCAGATCAAACAAGTCATTTAATGGGCTTCACCCTGCTCTGGGTTCCTCAAGCCCACTGGCAGAAGCAGGTCTTCAGCGCCTTCAGGAAGAGTATTAGAGGGGGGGGGGCATTCTAATCTCTAGGGGAATGATGTTTCAGAGAGGGAGCTACCACAAAGAAGCCTTTCTGGGTCCCACCAGGTGTATCTCCCTCGGAGATGGAACCCGCAACATTCCCTGTTTCCTACTCTGATGCATTGGGTAGATGTGACCATCAAGTGACAGTCCCTGCAGGAGAGGTGATACATGTACACACCGGGGTCTGCACAAAAACATGTGAGCTGCATTTTGCATAAACTGGAGCTTCCGGATGCTCTTCAAGGGCAGCCGCATGTAGAGCGTGCTGCAATAGTCAAGACAGGAAGTGACTAAGGCATGAGTGACTGTGAGTAGGGACTGTTGGTCCAGGAAAGTGCATAACTGGCGTACCACCCACAGTTGCACAAAGGCCCTCCTGGCCACAACCGCCACCTGCTCTTCAAGCAGGAGTTGTGAGTCTAGAAAAATCCCTAGATTATGCACTGGGTCTGGGATAGTGCCACTCCATCCAAGGCCAAATATGGAAATTCTCCCTCAGTCAATGAACCCCAAACCCAGAGCCACTCAGTATTGCCAGGCTTTAGTTTCAATCTGTTGCTCCCCATCCAGCCCCTAACAACCTCTAGGCACTGCGAGAGAGAGGATAATTTAGCAACTTATTAAAAGTTTGGGATAAATAAAGAAAAGGAATAAGTCCATATGTCTCCTTTCTTGATTCCTTATTGAATGTCTATTTTTATGAGGAAGGACTAAAATTTGTTTAGTGCAGACACAATAATCCATTTAGATTACAATATTTTATTAGTAGAGCAAAACTAGGATCTCTCCAGCCACATGCAACACAATGCTATTCCAATCTTGTAAGGATGCTGTGTGAACTAAAAGGAATATTGAAAGCAGTTGAATCACTCAGTGGAGAAATAGAGTAATTTAAGATGGTTTCTTTAAAAAACTTGACAAGACTCATGTCATTTGGCTGGCTGTGGTGCTGGGACTGAGGGAGGGGACTTTCTTGATCATACACTTTTATACAAACGTGATTTCAGAGCAGAACTATGTTCCTATTGTTTAGTGTTAAGGAAAGCACACCATTACCACATTTTCTGCGATTGTGTATTCAGCATGAGCTTTACTTGTTCTTGTGGCCCCCCCGAGAAAAACAGAAGAGCAGCTATTTCTGAATGCTGCTATTTATTTGTTAGAAGAGCTCCAAACTTTTGAACAAAAATGTTTGAGAGATTCCAAGAACACCTTTCAAATTAGGCAGTTTTCTACTAAATGTGAAACAAAGCACATTTTCCATTTGTGCATGCCCAAGTAGGTTTCAGAATTGTCTCAACAGTGAGATAAATGAAAGGTAGAAGAGAGAAGCATATTCCACAGTCCCCATGTTTCAGTTCTTTCAGATGATTGCTTAAAAACCTAGGCCTGTTTAGAGAAACGGTAACATTTCTAATATTCAGTTTCCTGCCAGAAATTCTTTTCTCAAATTGCTCACATTCTTCCTTTATTTGCAGATATGGGCATGCTTGCCTTCCCTGATATAGCCAGAATGCAAAAGCATTTCATCCCACAATGGGAGAGTTTATGGCTGAGGATGTTGTGGGAACCCAGTCATTTATTTTATGTGTGAAGTGAGCCATCATGAGAAGCCAGGCTGAGTGGCTTGGGCACAGACTACCAGGTGCCAAACTCTGGCCTGCTGTAATAGTCTGTCTGGTTACGTAGGTAGATCTCTGACCTGGTATTGGTGAGGGGAAGAGAATGACCATCAGCCTTCTGGGTCAGGGCAGAGATCAGTGTCTATCCTTTTAACAACCAGCTTTGCTGTGTTAATGGGTGTTTCCAGGGCAGAGAGCAGATGATGGTGCTCAGCAGGTGAGGGACAGGCCACTTCCTGTGTGGTAGAGTTCATTGTAGCAAGGCCTGGGATCCAATCTGCTATTAATGTATGTTTGTGGTATGGAGACCTTACCTTGCCGGGTGACATGATTTCCAATATCAACTGACTCAGTTCTGCTTCTAGGCCAAGGGATGGTTTCCTGCTGGGGTGGGGCTTTGTTCAGAGACTACCTAGTTGCTTGTGAATATCAACAAGTTCACAGAGAAAGTTTTTTTGGAGTTCTTTGTGTGGAGCCGAATTTCCAAGCTCTTCAGAAGTAAAAGATGCTAACATGAAAACAGCTGGGACTGTGGCTGACCATGTGGAGGGTCTTGAGGAGAAATGCAGGAGGGGGGGGGGGGCACCTACTTCACAGCAGAGGGAGCTCAACTCCAGAAGCACCTTCTCTAGTTTCCACAGTTCCTTTCTAACTAGCCTCCTGGCTGGCCTTGATCCAAGTCAGCTAAGATCAGCCTTTTGGGATGCATATTGCCGCATGCTGGCTGCAGACACTGATCGCCTCATCATAGGTTGGCTTCCCCTGGCAGGTTGACTAAGGTGAGGGTCAACAGTTTCTGGTTTGGCAGGTTTTCATATGAAGCAACATGCTATGTTAAAAACATGGTCTGGTTATTTGGGCATAGTACTTTGTGTGACAGGAATTCTGGTTTCCTAACATGGATAAAGTTGAAGATTAGTTTGTTGTGTAAACCTAACCTTTCCTTGACCGGTTTCAAAGCAACTGTTTTGTTTGTACTCTTCTACAAAGGAAGAATTGCAATGCTGGTAGCCAGGTGTTTTTTTTAAAAAAAGAACATGACTCTTTCAAGAATAGAAGATTGTTAATGATGTTCCCTGACCCTGGAAAGTATATGAATAAGCGCTCTATAAGGGCATACTAGCTATTAGATAAAAATGCACAATTTTGTTTTCTAAAATTATAGCCTGCTTTACGCATACTGCTCTTCCTGGATTTGGTTTTCTTTATTATGGTTTGTATATCAGAATCTAAATTACTTGTATTTTGTCAATCAGCCACATTCCTTATTTCTGGATGCTGGAATATTTTAAACATGGATTGTTTTTCGCTTGAACCTGAAGCTACTCTATATGCATGTATTTATATGCTGCTTCAATCACTGAAATTAACTCTGCTCAGTTAAGATGTCCCAGAATAAGAGGCACAGAAATGTGGTAGGCACAGTGCCCTCAAATCTTACTCTGCGTCTTTTTCTGCTGCAAGTGAGAGATGGAGGACTGACCAGGAATGCCAAAACACCCACCTCCTCCCACAATGCCAGCAAAATACCTGTTTAACTGCTGACACACACACAAAAAATCCAAATCCAGCAAGCCTGATATGGAATTCCCCACAAGTAAACAAATCATTGTAGCTTATGTATGCGTGACTGGTTCATTCAGGGGGTGCTTCTTTGGCTTGATGTTTATGAGGGTTTATCAGGTGAGTGGCTTCCTGCATTGGGGTTTTTTCTGTGTCACTAAACAGGTATTTTGCTGGCATTGTAGGAGGAGATGGGTGTTTTTGGCATTTCCAAGTAAGCATTAAACAAATAAGTATATAGTATGCAGTGATAAATACAAATCAACAATAGTATTAGCAAATGAATAAAAATATGATAAAAATATCAGCTAATGATTACAGAACAAATCTTTAATCTTTATCTGTCAGAGCAGCTAATCACTAATGTTTCCTACTTCATTAAACAAAAATAAATAATGATTAAAACAGAAAAAGTTTGAATACATATATCATGAATAAATCCGAAAACCTGACTAGA